AATCTTATTTACATTAACAGTTTCAATTCCAAATTATAATCTGCTTACATATGCTTAGCCAATAGTCTGGCTATATATCCGTTTAAAAAGTACAAACCTCTCACACTCTAGGGCCAGTCAGATCCTTTAGATCACAGTTTGCTTAACACTCAACCCTCGAGTATCCTTAGAGTGGCTCACACGCGCCTGTACCTTAGCTGAGTCAGTGACAAGCATAATCCCCGGGCTGGACAACAGTTGGTGTCAGTTGTGCCAACAGCAACAGCAGCAGCAGCAGCAACTGCAACTGCAACTGAAACAGCAACAACAGCAGCAATAACAACTGTAACAGTTACAATACGAAATGAGCAGCGCGGCGAGGGCAGCGCAGAGCAACAATGCAGCAAACGCCCGCCAAACTTTAACTGCATACCAATTAGTTGAGAAACGCGTGCTGCCAACAACAACAACAACAGCAGCAGCAGCGACGACAACAACAACAACAACAATTTGAGCTGCGCACGATCAAAGCAACTGATAGAGAGGAGAACAGGCGGCGCGGGCCCTGGCGCTGCGTAACTGTGTGTCTTGACCCTTACAACATGCAGGACAACAGCAACAACAAGAGCAACAGCAACAGCAACAGCAGCGGCTGCCAACTGCTGCCAAAGGTGAAAAACCAGAGTTGGCAACACACACACACACACACAGTCAAACACACACACACACACACACACACATAGAGGCAAACATAAAGGGCTCAAGAGCCACCACTAAAGTCAACACCAATACGAATGCAACGAGGGTTCGTTTTGATTCGGCTTACACACACACACTCACACATACATGCCTCGAGCCTCGATTTTCGGGCCAAGTCGGCCTGGCACTCGCTTCACCGTTGGCTCAATTTAGAACCGCACAATCGGCCAAAGATTCAGTCAGGTGCGAAGCACCGAGCGATACAGACGTGTGCGTCTCACAAGCGAACTTTTCATACACAAAGATCTGTTACCAAAAAATTTAAGAAAAATATATATTAAAAGAATAAAAAAAGCAAAGTAGTTAAAGAAAAGTTAGTAAATAATTTGAGCAATTCAAGCGATCTTTGTGTTCGTGTCTCGTCTTCAAATTGTTGTCAAGCTTTGGTTGAAATAAACTAAACGCAAAGAAGAACGCGAAAGTTATATTGGCCAAAATTAACTTAGCCAAGTGTATTTGCGAAAAGTGCTAAACCAAAAAAGAAATACAAATTAAAAGCCAATAAGAGCCAGTGCCCAAGGCCAACAAAATGAATCATTTGTCGCCGCCGCCATCGCCGCACTCGCAGCCAAGTCCAGCGGGCTACGCGGGTCCAACTCTGGACAAGCAATGGATGCAGCGCGCCTCGGCCTTTAATACCGTTATTGCATCGGCTGCCGCACAAAAACTAAACAATCGAGGTGAGTGGATCGAGGAAATATACATATGATCTATGGCAGATGTGAGGCAAA